GTTTTCCTGTTTATAGTTTCTATTGTAAAATTTCAACTCCAGCATACATTCAGCTGTTTCAACGTTTCATCTCATTCAAGAAGTTGCAACTTTTGATTTTTAAAACTTTTATATGTTTTGAATTAATCAACTTAATATTTTTCTTATGTGAATGCATTCAGATATCTTCAAATCCTTGATCAACTACACATGCTTTACTTTTTCAGCTACTGTTCTGCTGGTTTTAGCTTTTAGCTAGAGCTCTAATTAATATAGCTTGAATTTGACTTTTAGCTACTATGTTGGTAGTTTTAGCTTTTTTCCCATTTGTGCTTTTAGCTTTTGCTGATTTTAAATTTTGCTCTGATTTTGAACTTACTCAATTCTGTTTCAGCTTTGTCAAAGTCATTCAACACATTTGTGCTGCATTTTTACAGAAACTATTAATTTGTTGTGGAACAAGTAAATCAAAGTATTAGTACTGAAAATGACTTTTGCACAAAGCCAAACCCAGATCATGTTTCACTATCATGATAAAGACTTGACAGTAAATTTTGCTTGCGTTGTTTGCTTGGATGGTTTACAACCAGGATCTGTTTGAACACTGAAGTCTCTCAATCNTCTAATTTCTTCTCTCTTTGTTTTTCTCTCTCTCTATTTTCTCTTCACAAAAAAAAACATAATGGTGTGGAGAGGATGGCTATAAGGGGAGAAAGGAGGCCATCCAAAAATAAAAAACACCTGATGGCGTTTCTAAATAATAAATTTAATGCTGCCTCTTAAATAAATACAGTCATACCATCTTTAAATTTTAAATCCAAGCATATGCAAGCGTTTTTGACTTACAGTATGTGTAGCTTATGTGCAACATTAGTGTAACCTATGTCCAGCATGTTTGAGAGTATTGGCATTTATTGTGACAAGAGGAGCTGTCATACAGTGACTCATAGCATCAATGTGGAAAAAAGTCAATCTGATATAAATCACATAAGTTAGGTGTAAGTTGAAAAGCATGTGAACTTCTGCATAACTTACCTGTCACATACCTGTAACTTATATGCTTAACTCTTTGGCAACACGTCGCCGTACGCTGAAAATTCTGTGAATTTACCAAAATACTGTCTGGCATCTGCATTCAACAACTTATAATATTGTGTATCAGCGTGATGGTAACTTATTGAAAACTTACACCTAACTTATGCTACATAGCGTGTTTGTCTTTTTTTGTACAATGGCACAAGTTGTGCAAAAACTTTTGTTGTTCTTTTATAATTTTGTTCTTGTAATACCAATATCATCCTAGTATGTCTGTATTAAAATATTCAAAATTTTTAGGACCTTGATTGTTTGATGTCTTACAGCAGTGTTTCCCAAAGATGGGGTCGGGACCCAAAGTGGGGTCCCGAAACATCAAGGTGGGGTCCTGAAAAGATTTTCTGAATTAATTACATTTTTGCCTTAGTTGTTACAAAGGAGTGAGGTTAGTGTATTTAAAATGGATAAATGTAGTATAAAATATTATTACTATGCTCATATTTAGTTGACCTGATGCAAATGTTTATCATCCAAAACTAGCTGGGGGCACAGGTCTCTGCTGCTGTTATTTTGTGGGTCAAAAGCTGAAAAGTTCCCAAAGTTGGGCTTGGGGCCCAATTATGGGTCATGAACCACCTGGATAATCTCCAGAAATCAATTCAAAGGGTAATAAAATAATTGCTGATGTAATATTTTCCCTATGACTATTACAAAAACACAAAATACATATAAATAAGTATTTATATTTGTGTACAAGCTGTTTAGATTGTCAAAAAGCCTGTGTTTTTAGGGTTATTAATAGTTTGTGTACTCAGACCAGTAATATTTGGGGTCACAAGTTTTTGCCATGGATATTTTGTGGGTCACAAGATAAAAAGTTTGGGAACCACTGGTCTACAGTATAACTAATCCAAAATGAAATAATAAAATGTATCAAAAGAAAAAGACTAATTGCAGTTGAAGGTGCGTGTGTATGTGAATGTGTGTGTTTTGTCTGTCTTTGTTTGCAAAATCTCATAAAAGTTATGAGATTTTGGAGCTGATTTTAATAGAAATTCCCAGAAAGGTGTTAAATATACATCTACAACTTATTGATGTTTATAGTCAACCACATTCCAGAATGGACATTTAACGTTATGTTGGTGTGGTAAAATACCTAACTTTAACTCCAAGCACTAACTGATTGTGCAAGAGGGGTCAAGCTCTGTCTGTTAGTAAAGCATCTCAGATTATGATGAAACTTTCAGAAAGTTAACCTTAGATGTTTATCTTTAACTGATAAACTTTTGGAATCAGCCCAGCACATGACCACCACAGATAATCAAAACATGAATGACTCAGTCTCAATTTAACAAAAATGGTGGCACGATGGCTTAGTGGTTAGCACTGCTGCTTGTCTCAGTTTAAACCACATGAATGGCAGCTGGTGATGAGCAATCCCTCAAGAAATACTAAGCTTTTAATTTTATACGCAACTGTTGTTTTTATTAGGTTTGACTTGGTTTCACTTGTGGTTCAACCATTTCTGTTTGGATTGGGTTAGGAGGGCAGTGCCCTTAAACAGTTTTGCTTCAACAGGAATGTACCGTACATACTGTATAGTTTTCAACCTGATGGTTGGAAACCACAAGACGTTTTGTCCAATGACCTGCTGAGGTAGCCAAACTGAAGATATTTTTTTACTTACTTCAGAGCAATCACAATGGGTGAGAGATTCGTTTAAATGGTATCGTAAGAGATTTTTCCCAAAGTTAATCTGAAATTTAAAAAAATGGACTTGATAAATTTTCATTTCAGTCTATGTCCTGGTGCATCTCAGTAATCCAGGTCGATAAAATCAAAAAGAAAAAATAAGTAGGTCCTCTGGATGGGTTCTTCTTAAGTGAAACGTCAGTCTGATGAGTTTCAGGTGAACTCAGCCTTATAAGCACTGCCTCCACATGGACAAACATGTTAGTCACATGCAAAAGAGGGCCATCGCCTAACAATAGGCTTGATTAGCTCTATTTAGTCACATGGAAAAGAGGGCCATCGCCTAACAATAGGCTTGATTAGCTCTATTGTTCATAGAGGGTCATGTGCCCCATC